GTTCTTACGTTACGTTACGTTACGTTACTTACGTTACTTACGTTACTTACTACTTACTACGTACTACTACGTACAGTTAGTACGAGAGAGAGAGAGAGAGAGAGAGAGAGAGAGAGAGAGAGAGAGGAAGGGAGGGAGGGAGGGACAGAGGGAAAAATGGGTCTGGGGATTAGGATTAGAGCTAGGGTCGTGATAATAATTTGAGTAAGCATGGAGGGACAGGGGAAGAGGGAGGGGTGGGGGAGAGAAGGTGAAAGAAAAGCCCGATAATAAGAAATACTCTTCATCCCAAAGTAATTGAGTTTGTCTTGATTTTTTATGCCGTCTTTGACCCTAACATAGAACTTTTTAAATGGTCACTAAAAACATTTCATTGTCCAAACTGCTTTTAACCATTTTGGTGGAGTTTTCCTACTGATCATTTTGAAAAACTGTGGAGTTTGGGTACACCCAAATGAGTCCGTAGTATCCATTTTAGCATCTGTTCATTGCTTCTTTTTTTTGTCTTTATTATCTATTTCTTTTTCAGGGTCCAAATGCTTTCTATCTATACCCTGAGATAGATGATAAATACCTGAAGGCAGCGTGCAGCACTTTCACTTATCGAGTCAATTGATAATGCTTTCTGGTAGAGTTCTCGTGCTTTGGATATGTTCCCCTCTTTCCACTCCATCCAACCCCAAGCCTGCAATGAAACTACTGCATCATATGATATCAAGACATATAAAAAGGGAAATGTAGCACCCATATAATTGATACCTCCTACACAGAAACAAGTAAATTTCAAAGCATAATATAGAAACTGTAGAAAGCTTTTAACAGTTTCAACATCAGAGATTGCAATCAATCATGGCCTTATCGATTATCTTGTGGCATATAGGACAGTAATCTAAAGAAAACTAATTAGAGACCCCAGCAATATGAAACTAAAACTGCCAAACCAGCGGTAATAAATTCCATGACAAAGAGAGGGAAGAAACCCTGAACCCCTTGAGTTGAAATGAATATCAATCCAGTTCTTGAGCTCTCAATGCAGATTACCCTTGATGACACCACAAACATCCGTTGCTTCTTCAGATCAATTCAGCAAAGCCTTTTTAAACTTCAAAAAAAAAAAAAAAGGAAAAAAGCAAAGCCCTCTAGAGAGGCCTGATGGATACGCATCAATGATCGATCCTTCCCTAAGACGGACACTAGGACACTCTTAATTATAAACTCTAGCCCTATGTTTAAGCACAAAACGAGCTGCAATACATGTTGAAGCCCAGTAAGTTAAACATGAATCCACACAACATTCTTATTTGTTAGGGGCCACTCACCAACCTGTTTCTAATATTGCTAAACTTTATCGGGTATGATTTAAATGAAACTTGGTGACTCCCCGAACTGTAAGATGCCATTAAACGTGGAGGGGGTGCAGTCTGAATAACATATTTCATTTGTTGAAAATCTCAATATTTCCGTAATATTGGGCTAAGTTTTCTAATGAGGAATTTTGTTTACTTGTTCTTATATAATATCTTTTCTTTATGGGGTGCTTTCTTCGTTAACAATTTGATTCCCTCTTTATGTTTTCTCATTTCCTCAGACAACTATGTCAAATAATAATTCCCTGGTCACACAAGGATACATGCACTCCTTACTGTCAATTGTTTTGTAGTGAAGAACTACTTCATCCACAAAACTAATTATCAATTAGTCTCTGAAAGCTAAGGTACTTATAACGTAATTAAATGATACCACTTCACTAGTTCCTCAGGCTGGTTTAGGGGTCACCTGAACTTTTAGGAGGATCTAGAATACTAGGAAAGAAGATATAGAGGTGGACAAGATGACCCTGACAGAATTCACACGTGCATTACTCAACTATTTTACAAATAGGATAGATAAAGGACAGAAGGGAATATTCTCCTACCATTAAATCAAGGGAAATTTATCAAAATACATCTCACTTTTCAACTATTTAACATTTGACCCTTTTTTACGTATTCTAAAAATCATCTGTATTTTGATGCTCATTTTGAAATTAAATCAAAATAGACAAGTAAAATATTTAATAGTTAATATTTACTTGTAAACATACTGTCCACCCAACATTAAACGGGCTGTTACCACGATCATGATTCATTTGATAAAGAAACACCTCACATGCCAAGGAAGTATCTAACAAAGACACATATAAATTTAATGAAATAACATGAAATATATGGAGAACGTCATCTTACAATCCATACTGGCTGGTGCCTTGGGTCCAATTCAGCAGCTCTTCGGAACATAATTCGAGCAACATTTGCAGATGAATGCTTGTATTCCAATAAACCAAGCGACTGAAGAATAACAGGGTCCCTAGGGTTAAGTGCATGGCCTATCTTTAGAAGCTTCCTTCCTTTCTCAATGTCACCTTGATTGGCCTCAAAGAGTCCCCATACATGCCAGGCATACCTGTTCTTTGGACTGGCTTGGACTGCTTTCTGAATAAGCATGAAAATGCAGGATTTGTAAAGAGATAACCCATACGTACATGGCACTGCATGCAGGACGAGAAGCACATGAACCACACATAGTTATAAACCCCTTCTTCAACGCGTTCATTATTACTAAAAGATATGTTCAGTGCACGTTCGGTGTCATTTTTGTTTACTTCTTTGTCTATAGAATGTCTCATATCTAATTAATGTCCAAGATTCAAATGCCATGTTTGCCATCTCCTTAATCATATTTGTTTGCTATCTCCTTAAATAATATTTGTGTGAAATTTCACAATTATGTTTCATTAATCCTAATGCTCATTTCAACCAAAAAGGGAAGAAATAAACCTAAGTGGTTCTAGCAAATCACAGGAACTTATGGTGCTACAACAACCAGAAGAGCAGTTATGCACCTCAAACAGTTTCCTGGCAGCTTCACTATTCTCCTGCTGCACCTCTAGCTGCGCCCATGACTGTTTCATAAGAATTGCACAAAAAAAAAAGTCTCTTAAGTCATTCCCATGAAAGTACGAGATTTAAACAATAACCAAGAATTGGGTTTAACATCAAAAAATTCAATAAATGGGTGGAATACATGGATTTAAGCAATATACTTACAAGCCAACTAGCACAGCTCTTGGGGTTATAAAGTGTAGCCTGTCGGAATAAGTAACGGGCTTGTTCCACTCGGTTAGATTTGGCTTCAAGCAAAGCAAGTGTTTGGTATATGTATTCATTTCCACCATGATACTTTAGTCCTTTCCCAAGAAGATCCCTGGCCTTTTTTATATTGCCTTGATTAAGCTCTAAGACTGCCCATCCATGCCAGGCTGCAACATGTCGTTTATCAGCTACTGTGGCAGCATCAAATAGTTCTCTTGCCTTCCTGATGTTCCCAACCTTATTTTCTAAAACAGCCCAACACTGTCCAGTCAAGAATGTAAGCCTCAGCACTCCTCTAGAATCCTTACATTAGAGGATGGCAAGCATTGAAATGACAATAATAATATAATAAAAAAGCTCAACATAAAAAACATTTCTATAAAGCAGAGTACTATAATGGTTCCTTGGATTTGAATAGAATCAAAGATAACCGCATGCCGCCACATGTCATCTGATGAAACAGACAGTGCAGGACGCGCCGACACTGACATGGTGTCAGTGCATCCTGTGCCATCTGTTTTCACCAGACAGCACAGAAGCATGCGGCTGAGGATGTATAATATAGCTAAATTTTTGGCATTGATGATTCAACTTAAAATTTAAGACTAAATGACCACATATGAACAAAGCGTACATCTCACAACCACAGAATCATCATAGAATGAAAAATGACAAGAAAAAATATTCTATAGTGTGACACGTCTGTTATTACTGCTTTCACTGCACCAGTAGTAGTGGTGGTTTTACTGCTAGATGTAGTGGTAATTTATCCTTAAGTCGTGCCCTCTCTGGAAATGATATCCTATTGATACAGCTAAAAGAAGGGAAAAGTTTATATAGAGCTGAGGCTCTAAACAATCAAATTTGAGCCTACCTCAAAACTTTCACTCCAAGATGTTGTTTTGATACCCAAATATCCTCAAATTAATCATCTCGACATCAAGATGCATGGGCATGAAAGAAAAATGGATTTCAAGATTAGGAAATAGTGTATTTTGTAATGCATTTTTTAAACGTCAATTTTCAAGATTTTTAAGTTTTAATAGATCTGTCGATCTACGCTATTTTTAAAGCTTTAAACATTATAAATAAAGATGAAAATATATTTTAAGGCTGTCACAAAAATTTCCAATATTGAAACTGCATTTCTCGACACTATTTGAAGGTAGGCTCTAATTGATTGTTTAGAGCCTTGGCTCTATACAAACCGCACCCATAAAAGAAAATAGAGATCTCCACTCTCTATGAAGAACACAAGGTCTTGAATGGGCATTATATATTTAAACTAGCTCTAACATCCTAAGCCTCAAAAGAACAAGAGGTTACTTTTATCCTTAGAATGTTCATTTTAGAGAACAGAAAAGCATCTTGCAATCTCCAATGAGCTACACCTGCCATATGTAGGGATTCTCTCCTTGAGTTGCTTGGCAGCCCTTCTCATAGACCGACCTAGCATCAGCAAATCGAGATTGCTTACTTAGGATCTTCCCAAGTGCCACATAAGGACGTCCATCTTCTGGCCAAAATGATATACACTGAAAAAAAAAAGTTAACAGATATTAGTACGTGGTTTGGTTGCCAAATTCTTATAAGAAATTTCCTTAAAATAGAAGCGAATAATATGGAATCCATCGAAAGGGAAAATTTCTTAGAAATTAAACATCATATATTTTCGTGAAAATGGATTGTTCTTCAAACAGCCACATTGAGTCAAGTCAAACTGCTTAATTGAAACAGAAATTAAACATAAAGTGACATAGGCAACGGGCATAATTTCCAATGAAGTTCTTGATAGCTTTGCTGTGTGGGCCAATTGGCTATATTAATAATTGGGTAGAGTGCTTGTTCTATCAGTGGATAGGTAATAGTTTTTCTCAATACCTTTGCTTTGTAGGCCAATTTTCTATGATAAGAATGGCTTTGTGGGCTAATTTGCTATAATAAGTATTGCGCAGAATGTTTGTTATATTGGTTACTAGATTGAAAGCATGCCATCAATCCATTTATGTACTTTCCATATTCTTCAGTTGCGATAAGACTATAGGCACATGAAATTGGAAGTTAGATGACATAATCAACACACCCCACACAATCAATAGAGAAAAAACTGAAAAAATCAGTTCAGAGCTCAAATGGTAGTTGTGCTTTTACATGGGTAGTACAGTATTTGTTTTATCAAAGAAGATGCAGATTTCAAAACCCACATTTTTCCAAATTTCACAATTCCAAAAGAAAATGAACAATAGGAGATTGGACAAATCACAACTGGGGAGAATAACTGTAAAAGGGAAAAGACTCAATGTTTCCACTGAGAATCACCTGCCTAAAAACCTTCTCAGCATCTTCGTACTGATAATTCCTGGACAAAATCTTTGCCCTATAAAGGGCAAGCTCCAAATTAATTGGCAATGGTCTCTCTGCAAACTCACTGGTCCTCTCAGGCTCAAACAATGACACCTTTCTCGCGATCTCTGATAAACCCAAATCCAAACCAGATGAATCAGAAACATCCCCTTCCTCTTTCTCTTTGACTTCTTTAGAAGACATGGCTTCCTCATCTTCCCTCAAAGACTCCATCGCAGGTCTCCTAACAACAAGAAGGTCCGCACCATTACCAGAGTCATTTTCCGGCGAGCCCATGCCAGAAAATTCATCAGAAAATCTCTCTTCATCGCTAGATTCTGGTGAAAAAATGCTTTCTTGAAGAGGAGAATTGGGTTGACTAACAGCGCAAGAATGGAGGAGATTCAGAGGAGGAGTGAAAAAGAAAGAGAAATGGCTTCCGAAGATAAATTTAGGATTGAATTTGAAGGAAGCTTTGGTGGAGGAAGAGCGGGAAGCAGAGTTCTCAGACATGGAGAGGGTGTGAATTAGGGGTGAGTGGAAATTAGGGTTAGGGTTGTGAGAGTTGAAGCAGGAAATAGCCTGCATTTTTTCTCTACTGCGTTAGTGGAAGAGGCATGCATCTCACCAACTCTCTCTCCAACGGTAAGCCAAGCTAAGTTAAACAGAAGAACGTACGGTTTTGAACGCGGGAGAGCGGGGTAGTGGCCGAAAACGAGCCACGTGGCTATTACATCGGACGGTCCAAATTCCCTCTTACGTTGATGATCCTGACTCGGGACTCGCAAGCCATATCTCACACACCGAGTTTCGTAGCAATTTTCCTTGACACCACCTTGCCCTTTTCTAAGCACTCGAACCCGCGGTGACTTTGTGTTTTTTATGGCCACAATTTATTTTATTTTTTTTGAACAAATTTAAATTATTTAAAATTTTGAGGGTATTGATTCAAATTTTTTTTGTATTTTTTTTAAAATATTTTTATTAGATAAGTCTTAACAAGAAGAGTTAGTTGCTTCAAATTTTAAATAATTCAAATTTATATAAAAATATAAATCTAAAACAGAATCGTACCGTCATATTGGTCCAAATCCAATCGTAATTGCTGAATGTATATATTGCATCAGCCCATGGGTGCACAGAAGTTACACCTTTTTTGTAACATTACCTTTTTAGAAATTTTAAAGTACAAGACAATGGCCACAATTGTTTTTAATCATTTGATGTGATAGCTTGGGTATTTTTTATAATTAAAAAAAAATTATTTTGAACTTTATGTCCAATCAACCACACTCCTGCGACCATCTGATTTTACATTTAAAGATCAATGATAATTTTGATTTCTTTATTAATTTTTTTATTTTATTTTTGTAATTCAATACCAAGAATCAAATTTGAGATGGAGCTTCAACCGCATTCAATAATGATTAACCTCATTTATTTTTTTTGGATAGTTCAAGGTAGGAACCACGAGGTCAATAATGATTTTGACCTCCTTGTTCGAACTCAACTCGTGATTGTGACCTCATCGAAGATCTATACTCCATGGACTTCCCTATTTTTCTAAGGTCTCGGTTTGAGTGAGATGGCTCACTCGTCTATCCAAGTGAGTCTTTCCTTCAATGTTCTTGAGGATTTATGATCTTTGTAACAGGGATCGTGAATATGAAGTGATAAATTAATTTCAAAAATTTGAAGTACATTTTTTAATTTAAAACGAGTAGTTTTTTTGGAGCATTAGTGTTAAAGGTTTTTAATGGTCCTTCTGATAATTTTCCCCCTTTAAATTTGATACTTTTACGTCTTTTCCACGGGGAGATTATCTAGGAAAATTGTTTCATGCAGGCTGGACCGTATTTCTACATATGTGGTCCACAAAGTGTAAAGCATCCATCTTAAAGATAGATGCAAGTAGGTGTTCCATCTAAAAACAATGCAAACTCCAAATGTTTTCTTAGTAGAATTATTATTTTTAGTTTTTAAAATTTTCATTTAAAAACAATGGAAACTAAAGATTCAAATGTTTTCTTAGTAGAATTATTATTTCTAGTTTTTAAAATATATTTTTTTCTCCATGTTAAAACATTACATATCCTTGAAAATTAAATCTTAAAATCCATCTAAAAAATAAATTTATTAAAAGCCTCACATTACTACATATGCGGGTGCTGGGTCCTTATCAAAAGGACCCAAAAAGATGAACTATCAAACATTTCACAATATTTTTTATTTAATTTCAAAAAGCCATAAAACTACATTGAGTTGAAGGTGAAAATAGTAAAACTTTGTCTTGTTGATAAACTAAGTATATATTAATAGATTTTCCATTTATGGACTTGTTAGTAGTTAACAACTCCTCAAGAGCGGTTAAATGACAGGATGAGAGGGATGAGTCCAATAAAGTCATTCATTTTTTTTGTTTTAAAATTTTTTTTTTATAAATATCTTAATCATTAAGTAATGAGATATTTAGAATTATTTATAAATTTCCAATAATATTTTGGAAAGGAATGGTACTTTATTAATACATTAGACTTGTTTAATAGAAATTTCAGTTGTATTTTTATTAAATGACAAAAATACCTCTGATCTTTTAACGAGTTACACATATTTAATAAAAGAAAAATTTTATATAACGTCGCAACCTTAAAATGTAAAACTACGGATACACCTCAAAAATCCATCGGAAAATATTGTTTTAATATTGAAAAACCCTCTAATTGAGCATCTCGACATCGAGATGTAAGATTATAAAAGAAAAAATAATTTTGAGTCCAAAAAATAATACGTCTTACAAAACATTATCCAGACCATCCATTTTTT